CTTCCCAAGCGGCGCACTGTAGCAGTGCGCCACCGGGCCGGCCCCATATGATCTTTTAATTCTATTTTTCCATGAACTTTTTGAAGTACCCTCATGATGTAAGTATAACCAAGATTAGGACTCAAGGGCTTTGAAAGAAAGGTTATTATTGGTTGTAATGGAAAGTTATGTAACTGTTCTTGGTTTATGAGTTTTTGAGGCTCATGTTATATTTGAAAGAATTGTAGCAAATTCTTTTCCTACCCTCCCTCTAAAAAGGGGACATGCATTCCAGGTTTGATAGAATTCCTAAACTAAATATTCTTATACTGTGTGATTGCAAAAAGGCTCTCACCAGGTCCCCATTTTGTTAGTCACCCCAGCTTCCTCAGGTACAGGGGAGAACAATGGCCTGAGATTAGATTTAGAGGCAGAACACTTGGGTTTGAGGCTTGCTTTGGCCATATAGGTGACGTTTGTGACCTGGCAAGTCAGTGACTTCCTTGACCATCAATTGCAATCAAGTTTAAAATAGGGGTAACAACATCAAATAAGAAATAAATGTGAAAATGCTTATCAATGAAGATAATGTATTGGAAGGTGTTTTGTAAAGTGTATAAACCGTGGTGCTTGATTAGGTGGTGGCTATCATATTATGACAGTTTCTCTTTGGTGCTGTGCAAAGATCCCTGGAGATGAGCAGCATATCCCCATTTCACCTTTACCACTGCTGGTAGCTCAGTCACCAGCTTAGTAGGCATGAGCACTGACTGATGAGTGCGTGCCAACCCCTCTACAATTTCTGTTTCACTTCCAAAGGAATGAAATACTGTAGTCACTGTGCAGCTTCTAAACTGAACCACAAAGCCGTTATTGTTTGCCAGGTCTCATTCTTAACATGAACTGTTTAATTTTAATTGTTGCAAGGCTGCACTCTAACCAACTGAGCTAACTCGCCAGCCTGAACCATTTAAATTGAATACTAAATTTTCACTCATGGAGTGTAAACATAACTCTGAATTTTATTAAGTGATAAGAGTATGGTTACATTGGCAATTCCTACATATGCTCAGACTTAGTAGGCAGTCCTTTACGTTTTACTCTTATTTGGTTACAAGCTTATATTTTTAGTTTGTTTAGACTTGGATGTTTTGTTATACTTTCCCTTCATATTTATTTTCTCTGATACCTCAGATTTTTAAGACATTTTCACCAGGTGTTTCTTTTTTCACTTGCCTGCTTATGTTGCCAAGCTTCTTTCCTCTGTTAACTTTTAAGAAAGCTGACTAAGAACATTTAACAGGTGATTAGACTCTAGCAGGAAATTGAGTATTCTAGGAGCCTGTTTTCTAAGATGGCCAAACATCAAGGGATAATTATTTTTGCATGAAATAAGCCTTAAGGAACAAGATGATTAAATTTTGAGGCAAGTTGATTTATTTTAGATAAGATAAATATATTTGAAAAGTTTGGGGAATGTTGTATGATTTATAAGAATTATTTCCTTTGTTAAAAAAACAAGGTTTCATGGACTTTACATAATTATTTTGTTTTTAAGATACTATATCATTGTATCTATAGTATTTTGAGTTTTTAGTGTCTTTAGACTATTCAAATACAGCTCATCTCTTGTAGCTTTTCTTATTCATGGTTCTCATGATGTGGGCGTGACTAATTTTTTTTTTTTAATGGAATAGAGTAGAAAATATCAGTGCACTACATGTTAAGTATTATACCACATAACTTTTATTTAGATATGTTTTTATGATGTTTATACTGAGTCATAGCTTAAAATATATTTTTTATTACTATGCATTATGATCAGGATGATTTGAAAGCCAAAGTTGTAGTTGATGTCGTGGTACTTTCTCTTACTTACTCTGCACCTAAATAGCCCTCATAGGTCTAGGGTCAGGTAAGGCACAGAGAGAGCACTGGATAGTTGTTGGGTCTGGAAGATTCATTCAAGCTCTCTTTCCAACAGACCTTAGGCACATCTCCATCTCTTATGTATAGACAGTTAAGGTTCAGGATTTGGAAATGGAGGATGTCAACAAGAGTGGTCATGGTGACCAGGAAAGCAACAGGTGACCTCTGGTCCTAGGACAGAGAATGTTTGTTTTTTGTCCTTTTCTGGGGGGTTTGATTTGAATAATCCCTGATTATCTGTCAAAGCAGAGTACTGAAATTAATGGGAAGCTTAGGCCATCAACCATTTACCTTCCTCCATAAGTTAATCCTTCATCTAAAGAATTTTTTCTATTTGATTTTTTTCTTCTTTATTTTGGTGGATTCTAAATCCTCTTGTTACTCAGCTCACATTCTTCTTGGTATAGGAAATCCAGAACTGGACAAAATACTTTTTATAGTAAGAGCTTCAACCCTGAGGAGTGAGGATTGGCCCATACTTTTTATAGCCTGTGTAAAATAATACTGTTTCTTATGTGAATGTCTAGTTGGTAGTTTAGCCTTCATTTAAAAATATTTTTATGTGATACAGCGGAAAAGGCACATTGGTTCAAATAATTCAAAGCAATCACAATTAAAATTATTTTGACTCTAAGATGCTGGCTGTTAGAGGGCTATTTTTGTTTGGTTAGGCTTTGTTTTTTTGCAAGTGTAGCTTTTAATTTTATTCTTTGTATAGACTAATGTTAAAAGGTGCTTACCATCATTCTTTGACCTCCTATTATTTGATAATGTAAATGAGTGGAACAAAGAATTATTTTTTAGTATAAACATCTGTAAGCTTAAAAATCCCACCTTTGTTTTTAAGTCTAAAATCAGTATTTGCAGACTTAGTTTTAGGACAGTTAAAATGTGAAAACAAATTACTGTATATAAGCATCGACTTATTTTATTTTATTATTATTATTATTATTTTGGTGGCTGGTTGGTTCAGGGGGATTGACTACTTTAAAATCAACATATAGACAGTTTAGACTTTGATAATTATGTAATTACTTTTTTTTTTTATTTCACAGAACAGTAAATGTCCTGAGGGAACAAAACCCATGTTAATATTTGCTGGTGATGAGTTTGATATAACAGAAGACTACAGAAGACTAAAAAGTCTTTTTATTGGTAAGTATTTTAATATTTATTATCTGCAGTATAGCTCAGGTAGGCAATATAAGACTGTCATTGGTGGCATTTTGCCACTTCACCCTGGGGTACAACTTCTTTCTCCTTTTTCTTTTTGATTTCTTCTTTTTCTTTTCATAATTTTCTTTCTCCCTGACCAGCAGCAGGAAAGTATATAGTCATGCACCACATAAGGATATTTTGGTGAACAATAGAGTGCATATACAATGGCGGTCCCATAAGATTATAGCGGAGGGGCTGGCTGGTTAGCTCAGTTGTTTAGAGAGTGGTATTGATAACACCAAGGTCCAGGGTTTGATCCCTGTACCTGCCAACTGCCAAAAAAAATATGTATGAAATAATGGAGCTGAAAAATTCTTATCACCTAGTGACATCATAGCTACTGTAATATAACACATTAGTCATGTAAGAGTGATAGGCTGCACCATAGCCTAGGTGTGTAGTAGGCTGTACCATGTAGGTTTATACCTAGTGACATCATAGCTACTGTAATATAACACATTAGTCATGTAAGAGTGATAGGCTGCATCATAGCCTAGGTGTGTAGTAGGCTGTACCATGTAGGTTTACGTAAGTGTGTACTCTGTGATGTTTGCATAATGATGAAATTGCCTAATACATTTCTCAGAACATATCCCCATCGTTAATCAACACATGACTGTACTTAACTATCTCAGTAGAATTAAAGAGGTGCTCTGTAGATGATGATTTTTTGATGCTTTCATGGCTTATGTATCATCCTATTTATATAGTGTTTTACACTTTATAAAGTGCTTGTACCCGTCTAATGTTATTACTGGCATTGTTAAATTTAGAAAAATGAAAAGTTAAAATTTTAAGATTGTTATACTTTATCCACTTCCAACTCAGAAACCTCTAGTTTTTCTTAGTTTAATATACAAAGCCTTAGCCTTAGTTTAATATACAGCTATAACTCCTATATAACTTGCCTCCTTGATCTTCCCCAATTTCCTTCCTTTCTTTTTGATCAAATAATGATTTATTGAAAACATACTGTGCACATTCCTGTTGTCTTTTCTGGTGTCATTCTTATTTATCCATTTTCTACTATTCTTACAAGTTTCAGATCAAATTTCTTTTCCAGGAAACTCTTAATGACCTCCTCAGTTCTTTTTACTTTATTATCATCACCATGCTGAGTGCTGAACATATATAATCACTCCTTTTCCCATCTTTCCTCTAAAGAGGGGACATGCCTTCCAGGTATGGTAGAATTCCTAAACTAAATTATCTTCATCCTGTGAGTTAGAAAAAGGCTCTTACAGTATTTGTATCCACAGGCTTTGCATCTGCAGATTCAACCAACTGTGGATCAAAAATATTCTAAAAAATAACAATATGACAGTAAAAAATAATTAAAAAATACAGTATAAGAACTATCTACATTGTATAAGGTATCATAAATAATCTAGAGATGATTTAAGTATACAGGAGGATATAGCTTATATGCAAATACTATGCCATTTTATATAAAGGACTTGAACATCCTTAAATTTGGTTATCAATGGCAGTCCTGGAAGCAATTCCCCACAGATACCAAGGGACTGTGTCTTTTAGTGACTGATTTATTTCACATTAGCGTAATGTCATCAAGGATCATCCCTGTTATAGCATGTGTCAGAATTTCTTTCCTTTTTATTTTATTTATTTATTTATTTATTTTTTCTTTTTTTGTGACCAGTAAGGGGATCTTAACCCTTGGCTTGGTGTCGCCTGCCCCGCACTCAGCCAGTGAGCGCACTGGCCATCCCTATATAGGATCCGAACCCGCGGCAGGAGCACCGCTGCGCTCCCAGCGGCGCACTCTCCTGAGTGAGCCACGGTGTCGGCCCATTTCTTTCCTTTTTAAGTTGAATGATCAATTGTATGTACATATCACATTTTGTTTATCCTTTCATCTGTTGATAGACACTTGGGTTGCTTCCACCTTTTGACTATTGTGAATAATGCTGCTATGAACATGAAATACCTCTTTGAGACCATGCTTTCAATTCTTTTGAATATATATCCGGAAGTGGAATTTCTAGATTATATAGTAATTCTATTTTTAATTTTTTGAGGAACCACCATACCATAATACTATAATACCGTAGTGGTATTATTTCTTTTTCAAATGCTTGATAGAATTCACCAGTGAAGCCTGGACTTTTCTTTGTGAGTAGTTTTATTTTACTATTAATTCTACCTTTTTACTTGTTATATATATATATTCAGATTTTCCGTTCCTCCTTGAGTCAGGTTTGATAATTATGTACTTTTTTGGCATATGGTTGTTCATAGTATTCCCTTATAATTCTTTTTATTTCTGTGAGGTTGGTAGTAACGGCCCCTCTTTTGTTCCTGATTTTAGTAATTCTTTTCTTTTTCTTGGTCAGTCTTGCTAAAGTTTTGTCAATAGAATAACTATCAAGATTAGCAAGATTAAGGGCTGGCATGTGGCTCACTTGAGAGAGTGCGGTGCTGATAACACCAAGGCCGCGGGCTCGGATCCCTATATAAGGATGGCCAGTTCACTCACTTAGGAGAGTGTGGTGCTGACAACACCAAGTCAAAGGGTTAAGATCCCCTTACTGGTCATCTTTAGGGGAAAAAAAAAAAAAAGATTAACAATCTAGAATAACAAGATTTTGTTGATAGAGTATTTTTAAAGAATCAATTTTTGATTTCATTCATTTTTCTCTGTTGTTTTTCTATTCTCTATTTCACTAATTTATCTCTAATTCTTATTATTTTCTTCCTTCTGCTTGCTTTGGGTTTGGATTGCTCTTCTTTTTCTCTTTGTCCTTTTGGCTTTATGCGTTTTTACTCATTGGAGTGGGGTTGGGGAGAAAACAGAGATACGTCGACAGAAAAGAGGGGCACAGAGGTTGAGAGGTTCAGCTTTTCATTCACAGTGCACTGTTATTCACGAAGCAGCAGTACTTTACGTTCCCTCTTCATGTCATATTTGACAGCCATGATGTCACCTACTGATGCTCAGCAATATTTTCTCAGGTTTCAAAAATTTATTATTTATTCCATTTGATCTTTTCTTGCACCATTCTTAGCAAGCTTGGGCCACACTTTTTATTGCCCTTCTTTTGATTTTTATATACTTTCCCCTAGATTATTTTTGAAAAGGTGGTGACATATAAATTAAATTGTTTAACTGCTCTTTACAAATCTGACCTCACCAGAAAAGGTTTGGCAGACACATTGCTTTCATTTGTCCTTACTGGGATTATTTATGGTCGTATTGTTGGGATTACAATTTTTAGAACTTCTGATTTCTCTTTTTAATAATAACCACTTTTTTTTTTAACTGAGCACTACTATTATCTGTTTAATCTTTACAAAAGCTCTTGAGTATAGTGACATTCCCATTTTACAAATGGGAAAACAGAGGCTCAGAGAAGTTAAATAATTAGAGCTAAAACAAGTGAGGCAGAACTGAAACCCATATCCTCCAAAGCCTGAGCTTTTCAGCCTCTGCTGTCCATCTTGCCTGCGGTTACCATATTCCCTTGAAGAGTCTTTGTCTGTAGGTTCTTACCTATATTTTCTATGAGTTAAATTCATGCATGAAAGACAATGACCAATATTTCCTTCTTTCAGTACTATCTATGTCAAAGGGTATATTTTCAGCTTAAATTTTAGCCAATATTTCTATTACTTGTTCTCTATTGGCCTAGATATCCTGCCTTCCCCCCTCTAGTTCTCCCATATAATTATTACTTGCTGGTGAAGGAGGTACTTAAAATTTTTTATAACAGAGTGAGGGCTTATGTTTGCCTTTGTTTAAACGGTTTTTATAAGCCCTGCCTTCTCATTATTTTGTGCTTCCACTAGATGGCAGGAATGATCAGTTAATGCAGTGATGAGGGGAAGGGAGTAAAAACCAAAAAGGAATTTGGGGACAGACGCAGAAATGTAGAAGAGGAATGGATTGAGATTGTAGGGCACCAAGGGAAGTTGGGTTTTCAGTATAAATATGAAATAAGACAACTGCTCTTGGTTTATATTGTGTGTTTATATGAAATATAGTAGATCATTAGGGAAAGAGAAATTTATCAAGGTCTTTCTTCCTTCAAGGAGTTCCATTTTTTTTGATAATTGGCCAGAAAGAAAAGTTGTCTTCCTTAATGTTAGTATTTTCATACAAGGTACTCATTTTATTCATTCTCAATTTTGTTTCCGGGTAGGCCAGTTAGCTCACTTGATTTAGAGTGCAGCATTATAACACCAAGATCATGGGTTTGTATCCCAGTACCAGCCAGCCACCAAAAAAAAAAAAAAATGATTGAGTGAATTTTGTTTCCTTTTCGCTGTTTCACATATTACATAGATTTGTGGTTAATATTAGCGGGAAGTGCTTTTCTTTATTGAAAACCAGCAAATGTCTTTTAGATACAGTCATTCTAATTTTTATGGTTACTTTTTTTATATGACTGTTTCTTGTATATAAGGATGATAGTAGCTGAAGTAATTGATTAGTTTTATTAAATGCTCCTTTAAGGCCTACTATTATTTAACTACTTAACTGGGTTACTGTTTCTTCATTGCCGTTATTTATATCAGTGGTCATAACTACATCACTTGTCATTGTTTTAATTTTTTTTTTAACCTTTCTTATTCCTAATTTTTATTATATCTGAAAAATATGTAGTAGTGAAAATAACTTCTGTAGATCTGGTCAGGTAATTTATTAAATTTAATTGTCTCTACAGCCCTGCACTGGTAAATGTGTTAGTCTGCTCAAGTTCGCATAACATATTATCATATATTGGGTGCCTTAAGCCACAGAAATGTATTTTGTCATAGTTCTGGAGGCTAGGAGTACAAGGTCAAGTTTCTAGCCAATTCTTTTTCTGTGAGGGCTTTCTTCCTGGCTTGCAGATGGCTGCCATCATGCTGTGTCCCCACATGGCCTAGCTTTGATGCATGCATTCAAGCTCACTTGTGTTTTTTCTTAACAGGAC